AGATTGCTCGAATTTTTATGCAATTTTGATAACCATGGAACAAACGCAAATCAAAATGTCTGTACTCGAACACATAAATCGGATAAATTTGTTCTCACATTATGTCTGCGGTTGCAAATAAGAACGAGATATCGCCGCTTAAAATTCTGATCGCGAATTCTCAATAGTGTTTTAAGTTGCATTACCTTTTCGGCCTATCGAATTTGGTTTCATGATCTTTTGCTAATAACTTCATAAATCCTATACTTTGTATAACAGCTCAGTGCGTAAAATTACACTTCTTGAAACTCTGACATGCAACATCCTCCTTTACTGCCACAGTAATGTAACTGACCTAGTCAGTGATAAAATCATGGACAGAGATAAACCTATTGTTATGTAAAAATAATTTAATTTAGATAGTATGTACAAGGATGTAAAGGTACAAGAGCAAATTATTGTTACATAGTGAAGAAGTGATAAGAAAAATGATATATGCGCTATATGGTGGACATTCGTATGAAGTACAAATTGTTTACCCGGATTAGACTGAACAGAAATTAAATTATTTGTCTTCACATCGCATGAAGTGAAGATTTCTTTATGTTCATCGTTCATTATGTTCATGTTTTTTATGTATTATATCTTAAATTCATTTATTTAAAAGCTCTACATTTATCCAAGAACCTTATTGATTTCCCTTTTTTTCATAGCTTTATTAATATTTCTATTATCTACTTATTTCTGCCGAGAACGCGTAAAATCCGCTGTTTCATTGCCAGATTCTCGAAAAATGCAAATAACTTAGGAGAAATGGTTATTAAATTTTACACGAAGAATTCATTACAACTGACTTTACCCTTGTTCAAAATTAATTAATTTAAATTTCTGTGAAAAACCTGTTATAATTTAAAATTAATTCATTTGAATCTCTCTCTTAATTCGAATCTTATAATTCAAATTTATAATACAAATTCTTATAATTAAATTTTATGCTGAAAATGAAACATAAGACCTTATCGATTTTTTCTTTTTCATAGATTCATCAATATTTCGTTTACCCACTTATTACTGCCGACAATGTGTAAAATCCACTGTCTAGTTACAGGTTCTCGGAAAAAGCAAATAACTTCGGAGAAATGGTTCGGTGTGTAACAGTACAGCAATTAGAACATTTCCCGGACACTGCATCCATTGTTTCGAGAGAAGCAAGAAAATATTCTAACGGAAAAATGATTCCCTTTGCAATTGTACGATATTATTTAACAGTTTGAAACCAGATGATATTCAATATAAGGGAGACTGGGGCTAAAAGTTCCGATTTTGAGAAAACATAAAATTTGATTAAGAAATAATGAAGTTATTTCGTGTCTGATTAATTTATTGTTAAATTTACTCTACTTTCAGACTGTCTCAACTCGAATTTAATATATTTCAATAAGTTTTTCATAGAAACTCGTTTTTTCTGTGATCAACTCAAACGGAACTTCTTACCCCGTCGTGGGGCAAGTTGATAACACTTTGGGGTAAGCTGTTACCAAAAAATAAATGTTACTTTCTAATGAGATATTTCATTCTCTGATGAAATAAAACGCAGTTTTATTAATAAAGCTTGTTCATTAACTTCGAATTAACAGAAATACATATATGTATATTTTTGAAAGAAAAACTATACTAACTTTGACACAAACATTAATGTAGTAAAATGAAATTAATAATCTAATATTATGATAATTTAAGAACAACTTTAGTTAAACCTAATAGAAATAACTTCTTAAACGAAAAAAATTATTAAATATCGTCAGACGACTCGTCGGAATCGTACTTCGAACAAATATATGATACATTTACTTTCTATATGCATTTGGTACGAGCCCAGTTCTTGCGTAACATACACTAAATCTATTCTTCCCTGGATTATGATTTGGAATATACATCGCAACACAACAGAAACTATTTATACATTTGAGGCGCGGTAAGTTGTTACGGTAACAATATCGCCCCGAGTCATGGGAACAACTAGCCCGAATTGACATGCGTGGCAATGTATAAAAATATTTTGTTTATATATTCAAATATTCTAATAAATGCTATTACAGCATGTTCTTAAATATTATTTGATTTATAAGGACGGAAGACTTGACGATATTGAAATTAAGTAATCGAATTAGACAAGAAAATAGTGTCTCCGAAATATTTACTCTAAAACTGCACAATTAGCTGTCGCGGACGCTACTAAAATGGTTGATGACGTGGCGTGGTCGGTCCACGCTTTCAAAACAATTAAATTCTTCTTTATTTGAAATATATTAGGTCTACCGGAAAGTTCTGTCCGATAAAAGTAATCTTTGCAAGAGAGAAAGACGTTTCTTGAAACATTTCTTATATGTTTCTGAAGTCAACTTCTTATTAGATCAACTTACAGTTGAAACATTAGAAAAGATACAGCATCGGGAAGTACAAGTAAAATAATTTTATCATCGTTTCTAAAACTGTCATTTTTAACCTTAATAGTTAATTCTCAATTTTTATTTTAAATATCTCAAATTTTCCAAGAAGTTTCCCATAAAGTCACAGTTATCAGTAGACTGCGAATTTTACGTATTTATAAGAAAAATGAGTAGTTGCAACCCTGACACTATTAGAAGAATTCAACAATTTCGTTATATTATTTATAACTTATTGAAATTATTCAAGACAGGAATAAATGTCTATGCATTTCCTGTTTACTACATGCGATGCGCAACATTTTTATTTCGCACGAAGATCCGCAGTCTAGTTATCAGTAATCTATTAGGTCTACCGGAATGTTCTGTCTGATAATGTCATTGCAAATTTCGATAGATATGCACATATTCATTTGAGACATATATTTTTGAAAAATGTTGCTCATAAATTGCCATCATGCTGGCAAGAGATCATAAGTAATGACGGAAATTATATTGTACAATGAATATTACTAAATTTATGAAAAATCTATTATTTCCTTTCATTTCACAAACGGACAGAACTTTCCGGTAGACTTAATATATTACCATCGGAACAACTTACTCCCGGAACTTCTAGTCCCGGTCTTCCCTACTTCGCTTTTAGAGAGTATGGTCGATGTACTATGTACTAGATCCTTTGTTATGCAACGTTTAATCCTTCCATAGTCGAATAGTCAAGTAATATCTGCTCAGGAAGCGGATATCTTGCTATGGAAAAAATATGTGTTATCGATGCTGAGCTATTGAGAAGTTTTTCATCCTTGTAGAACTAATTGTAAGGAAACTGTGCTGGCTAGCGCACTCAATTGTACAATCGTACAATCAGTTATCGATATCCATATCAACCTTTAAGTCATGGTTGAGAGAACCCGTAAAATGGGGGCAGAATCGTTAATAAGTTGTCTTATTAATATCTGCATAGGGAAGTCTTTCGTTGATTCTCTAGACTCTCTACCAATCAAACTGAAATGAAAGTGCTATAAATTATAAATGTTACTTGTTAAGTAATTTCTTGGATGTTCAAATTTTACTATGAAAAATTAACCATTCTATTGCCGAGCTACGTAGCACATGACGCATTTTTTACATTTTCGTTTTAGGTTCGGATAAAAAAGTAGAAGTATACAAAAGATTTTGTTGTTCCGAGTAATAACAAAATTGAAAAAAATTATATTAGTCATTGCAACGTTTAAAAAAAATTCAAGTAATTTATAGTCTGGTCTTAAAAATGTTATTTCGTTTCAAAAGATGTTCGAAGTACGTATAAAGCTTCGCCTTTGATATTTCACAGTTCTGTAAGATTTTCTGGGAAACGAGAACAATATCTATTCTATAACAATAATTGGACCGTTTATTTTGAAAGTGGTGTAAGTCCTTTTTTAAAAAAAAAATGAGATATGACGTAATTTATGCTTTATTTAGTGTAAACTTTTTGTTTATAACTAGTTAGTAGTTAATATCTTAAAAAATGCCAATGCTTTGTTCAATTTAAAATTGACCGGTAAAAGAAATTGCGTAATCATTGATTATGAAAGTGATAATTCATATTATTAAAAATTATTATCAATAATAAAAATTCTATTAAAATAAACTTAAAATTTATTTATAAAATATTTATATTATGTGTAAGTCCAATTTCCATAGAAAGGTGGCGGGGTTAGTGGCCACCGGTGGCTTCACAATTGCTTTATTTGCTATTTATATTGTTTTATTTTCGTGCCAAAAGTTACTATTTTAGGTTACTTATTTTATTTTCCTCCAACAATGGATAATTTCATATTCACATCAGATAGTGATATAGGTAAGAAGAAATAGTAAATCAATGTTATTTTATGACAATATTATTTTATGACAATTGAAAATAGTTATTTTATTTTATTTTAAATAAATTTACACGGAAATAAGACCCATGAATATAAACAAAAGAATAATCTTAGAATCGGAGGATGAAGATAATTCTACTATGAAAAATAAATTAATGAAGCGTAAAAAGAGAAGAAGAATTATAGAGATAGAATTTTCATCAGATGAGGATATTGTTACTGAGAACTTGGATTCTGTAAAAGAAAATAAAGGAAAATATACGCAACGAATAAACAAAATTAAGCGAAATGCCGGACAAGAGTACTTTACAAAAAAAGGAAAATTCATTCCAGCAAAAAAAGAAAGTGATATTTGTTATTTCAAAATTGAAATTAAATGATATTTACAATTGACCAATTATGAAAGTGGTGTAAGTCCATTTGCAGCCTGAAAATTGTTTTTTATTTTAGTTAAATTCGCCTAAAAGAAATTTATATAATCAAATTACATATTGATAAATTAGTACAAACATTCCCAGACTTTACATAATTAACCTATATTTTTTAATCGTCAGATCTGCTAATATTCAATTTTCTCGAAACGAAAGAAAGTGGACTTGCACCACTTTCAAAATAAACGGTCCAATTATCATTTCCTCCGTTCAGTTAGCGAAAACGTATTATGATTGAACAGTATAATAATATGCGATTGAATAATATTTTGTTTCAGGATCGAGCGAGGAACTTAACGGACCGATTCACGTCCACTACTACGTTAACAGTAAACATTAGAGACGACGATGATCAGGATCCCTCCTTCATATACCAGGGCTGTATGCTTCTGGATGGCGCTTGCATTAACCCGGAGTACTCAGCTTCGGTAACTATGTTCGTTTAATTACCTAGTAAAGCTTCATCGTTAGTAGACGATTCGTTACCTTCGGCAGTATTTCATATATTCATAACAAGTTACTCATCCACAGAATTTTTGACGAAATTATTTTCAATTAAATTGAATCTTTCATTAAGTATTACCAGCGAGGGTGGATTATTTTGTTTTTCTTCTCTCGAAAAATTACAATTGAACGTTTCGGATTGCATCGTTTTATTCGCGATGATGCTGATTTAAATCCTGACAGGACCATTAAACCACGACATATAAACATAAACGTTTCCAATGAACCTATAATCGTATATGTCAAGTCTATAATCATACATGTAATTATGTGATTAATCATACGTGTGTTTATTGGATTGAAATGATCTCAATAACTCCATTCATTGTTCCACCGTGCAACAGGATACGATAATTCAAATGATAATAATGAAAACTCGATCGACTGTTCTGTAAATAAATCCTCAGATCGTTATCAACAATTTGCTTTATTATCGCGTTAACAATATTATCTGATAAACCACTTTGTAACAACTGTAACATTCAGCTTACAGTTAAGCACATCCTAGTAGAATGTCCAGTGTACAACAATATCAGGAAAAAAAGTAAAAATGTCCAATATCATCAAAGAATGTTTGGATAGCTATAAACAAACAGCGAAAATTATGTCATACTTGGAAGAAACCAAATTTTTTAGCGAAATTATACAGTAAGATAAGAAGCCTAGATTAAGTAAATAATGTAAAGATTTTATGCAAAACTACGGCTTATATACATTCTTCTTAACTATATTCGAATGGCATCTCGATAAAAATCTCTTAATAGTGAATGCATAGGATTCTTAATTATTTTTAAGCTCATAATTAATTTGAAGGGGAAACGACTTTCTAATAAAACTGCTTCGGATGTTTGTGAAAAATAAAGCATTTCAGACGTTCGTTTTTGTGAAGAAAAACGTAGATTCGAAATTTTTGTACCAAGAGCTTTATTGTACTCGTCAAATCATTTCTGCGGCGCTGAACTTTATTAGAATCTATATTTCACTGTACCGTGAGCGTTGGAAGTCCTGCAAATGCATTATCACATGCATGCTACCGGCAACAAAAATTCGAACGACGACGATTCTACTCTACATTGTATATCACGAACCACCACGTCCCAACCCTCATCCGCAATATGCAACCTATTTCTTATTGTCGCTCTTAAATCTTATGCGACACGATTCTAAGGCATCGTCTAACCGGTTCTGCTCAATGCGATCGTTTCTATTTTCTTTTGGTTCAGGTATCGAGCGGAGTGTTATCCGGGATACTTAATATATCGCCGGAGAAAATACAAGCTGTTGATATGGACAGTATCAACGCACCCATTCATTACTCGTTCCTGAGTGGCAATCCAACGAATTACCGCGAGTTCTTCGAAATCAATCCGAACACCGGCGCGGTGAAGCAAATCAAGGCAGTGGACACCACGGTCACCAAAAAATTCGATATCATAATCAAGGTAAGCAGACCAAGACAGAAATTAGAATTTTAGCATACTATTGGGTTGGCAACTAAGTAATTGCCGATTTCAGTTATAGATGTCTCTCACTCCCATTTTTATGTGATATCCGTAAATGTTATATTATAAAAGACTATACGGAACTTTATAAGAAATAAAAATTATTTTCATCAATTGCAACAAACATGGAAATTTCTTTCTTTAATTAAAATGATGCATTTAACGAAAACAATACATAATACAATGGAAAATAATATATGCCCCTACATTCTTGTAACATATTCATCGTTTTAAATTTCGCCTACTCCTTTTGGTATAAATGCATCACATTCATTCAACTTCGTTATTAACTTGAAATAAGACAATCAGAATAATAATTAGATCGCGAATCTTTATACAAATTATCAATTTTCTTCGTCAATTGTCAGAAGCTGAAGCCACACAGAAAATTCATTCGTTTTTCAATAAGTGAGTCGAAAATAATATAGCTATTGTTGTAGTATATTACTTGTAGTATTGTATTGGGTTGGGGCAACTAAGTAATTGCCGTAAATATCCGTAAATGTTATATTATAAAATTATTATTATTACGTTATTTTGTATTATCCGTGAATGTTAGCAACTGGACAAATTGAATGCAGCGGTCAAGGAAAAGCGACCAGAATTGGTCAATCGTAAAGGTGTCATTTTCCAGCAGGACAATGCTAGGCCGCACACGTCTTTGTCCACTCGGCAAAAATTGATGGATATTGCTTGGGAATTGATGTTACACCCACCATATAGCCCTGATCTCGCGCCATCGGATTACCACTTATTTCGATCCCTGGACAACTCCCTTCGTGGTAAAACTTTTAACGATGATGACGCTGTAAAATCTCACTTAACTCAGTTTTTGGCCGAAAAGGATCAGACTTTCTACGAGCGTGGAATTTTCAAGTTGTCAGAGAGATGGCAAAAGGTCATCGAACAAAATGGAAAATACATTACAGATTAAACTTCGTTCCAAGTAAAAAAAAATTTTTTATTTCATTGAACAAATCGGCAATTACTTAGTTGCCAACCCAATATATGTGATTACCATGGAACATTCGAATTTGTAAATTTATTTAAAATATAAAAGGCAAACGGAATTCCTCGTACGAAATTATTTAAGCATTATATCGGTAAACAATAATCATTGTTATTGCAAGAAATATAAATTATTATTTTGATTGCATATTCATATTCTTTTTTCCTATTTATATCTTCTTTTAGCAAAGAAGGAGAATGAAATTGTATTTAGTTTAGTTTTGATAAATGACTATTATCTGACTACATAAAATTTTAACATAATGAAGACGTATATGGATAGACATATTGTATTGTATTGTATTCAATATTTA